GAATCATGTGTTTCTTTCGATATTTTGTTATTATTTTTGAAGGTTCATATTTCCAAGTTTAACTAATGTAAATTACTCCACTCGGAGGTACCACCCATGATAAAAACATAACAAAGTAAAAACATTGAGAGGCAGTCTGACGTTTGCGAACAATATAATTTTAAAATTCAAAATTCAAACTCACACACACATTCGCATTGTCAATCTCAAGCAACAACAATTGTGAACAATTTAATTATTTTATTTTCAATTTTATATGATTTTAAAATGCTTGCAAACGTCAGCGAAAAAATCATGGCCGACGAATTCAGTGAATGAATTTACCTTGTAATGTTTTTATCATGGTACCACCTTTCCTTAAAAAAAAAGAGATAGAAATTGGAAACGTGGTCCAAAGTTATGCGATAACATACATAAAAAAATGTTTCGACTAATTGATAACCTACTCCTTTTTTTGAAGTCGGTTAAAAATTATTATTACTTGATTTTTTACATTTTCGGTAAAAAAAAATAACACAGGCAGGTAAAACAAAAAAAGTTCTTTGCCCAGACACCACGCTAGTGATTTGCAATGTATTTTTCCCAGCTGAATCCGAATCTGAACGCAGAATTGCCAGACTGGATCAAAGTAATAGCGTAGTGTTTCGAAAGAAGTTTGAATTGCATTTTTGAGAAGTTTTTTGAGGTTATCTCCTAAATTTGAGGCAATCAGTTGCGGATTGAGGTGGGAAAAATACATCGAATTACTTTTGGGTGGTCTTTCGAAAAAAATTGTTTTTCTTCATGTTGTTGGGCAGTTTTTTGCTTTTATTTCATAAATTTGAGCTTCTAATATTCAACCCATCTAAATTTGCTTGATACTTACATGAGGGGTTCGGGAAAGGTTTATATTTGTTTGCGGTAGTCTTTCTTTAGTATAAGAAAAATATTTTAGGCTACATATTTAATGCTTCTTTTAATTAAGTAATGTTTTCTCAACAACATCTGTATTTATAGTGCATTTTTTGCCTTACTACATAAACTGACTCCCTAGCCATTCACTATTAAAAACGCTTTGTTAATATATTATGTTTATTTAGTTTATTTTTGAAATAAAGCTTTCTAACGTTTTTTATTTTCTGCTTTTTTCTTAAACCAAACAATTAACTCTCTTTTATATTTTGTTGTCTGACTTTCTCCATTCTGCTCATACATAACTCATCTTTAACTATATATTTTTTTTTCTACTAATTTTCCGCCCCCTTTGTAGAAATCTCTTATGGAAGCGGCTATACAAAAAAATACTAACGATGAACTAAACACTTTCAAACTGAAAGTGGAAATTCTGGAAGAGGAGCTACGCAAGGCGATTGCACGTGCCGAGCATGCCGAGATTGAATTACAGAAATACAAAAATAACGCTAATACATCGACAAACTGCCCAACAACATCTGAACAAACTGAACCATTAAATATGACAGCCACAGCGGCTGCACCACCACCCCCACCACCGCCACCGCCTCCACCACCACCACTTCCTCCACCACTACCAATTAAATTAATGTATAAGCAGTCGGACGATGTGCCCGGTGGTGCAGCAACATTCAGCGATAGTATCGTAGCGCACAATTTGCAGAAGGAGAGTAGAAGCGATAAAATTATTGGTACTGTTAAACAACAAGTGCAAAGCGCAGCAACAGGTAGGTTACTTATGCGTGTTCACGTGTATGTATGCGTTTGTCACCATGACCAACATCAAGGCGGCACTGGTTAGCCACTCGCAACAGCATCTCCATATATGTACATATGTATGTATGGCTTTAGAGCATGAAAAATAAGTTTGAGCGTGTGGGGGGAACACATGCAAATCATGTCATGTGCATATATGTATGTATGTACTGTTATACTCATCAGCATTCGCACACGTTCTCTTCGCGCACATATGTACATGTGTATACAAAAGTGTGTATGTACCTTTTCCCACTCATACACCCACAGCCATTTGTTTCCGCATTCGTAGTTGCAGTCCGATTTTCACAAAATTCCCGCATAAACTCATAGCCAGTGGCGGGGAAAGAAAATCCGTTTTTTGGGAGGAAGCGTTGGTTTTTTCCAGTTTCACTATTGCGAACATCTATTTAATTGAATAAAATTTTTTGTTTTATCGTACTGCAATTTTTACTTTATCCACTCTTAATGCAAAAGTCCGATCCAATTACATAGAGTTGATTATACTTTTGTGAGCGCAGTTATTTGGAATGGCAGCATAAAATTTAACTCAGCAAAGGCGCTACACCAATATTAATTCGCAGGAGCGCTTTTGTTTTGTATGCAAATAAAAAAGAGGATTAAAATCAGTAGCGTTAATATCGATTAGTACAGCGATAACGAGATCGAATACAATATAGACAAATTGATTAAAAACGAGGTCGATAAATTGCAAATATCGAGAATGAAATCGAGAGACATATTAATGATATAGACAAAGTTATCAATAACTAAATGGAAACAGCACCTGTTACACAATGCACTTCCCAGCCCTTCCATAAGGCCTTGAAAGTCGAGAGGCCTTCCACTCTGTAT